TCCTTGGACACTTAACTAGTTATTTTATAATCATAAATCCAACATCAAAGGAGACATACATTGCTTATATTTTTGCTGGCTCTCTTTCTTTATTGACGCTCATGCTTTTATTTGTGAATTTGATTTTTTTGCAGGAAGAAAGCTTGGAGGATCTATGAGGATTACATTAACTTGTGCTATATATTCTAAAGTAATTGTGTGTCGCATGTTAAATTATCTCTTGCCATAACTTTATTTTGATAGCTTTTGAAGCTAAGCCAGGTTACAATAAGTAGTGTCACTATGGGACATGTGATTAACATTGCTTCAAATGATGTTCACAGATTTGATGAGGTACTATAATATTGTCCTAATAATAATTAAATTTCATTTCGTTTGTCGATGCACATGCACACACTCACGTGTACAGGGCATAGTGTATTTTGCTTTCTTTGTTGCATGTCCACTTCATGTTGGAGCAGTGACTTATTTACTCTATGGAAGACTCCAATGGGCAACATTTATACTACTAGGACTGCTACTATCACTAATCCAACTTCTAATTACTTTTACTCAAGGCTAAGGTAATTTTAGTAGTGTATTTTATTTATTAATATATTTATAGGTTTAAAGCAGCTAGAGTAACTGATAATAGAGTTAAAGTGATGAATGAAGTCATCAGTGGAATTAGAGTCATTAAAATGTACGGCTGGGAATATGCTTTCAGTAGACTAATAGCAAGAATAAGAAGGTATGATATGCATACAATATAATGATAGTACATTATATTGAAGCACTGTGTGTGCTATATATAAGCTAGCATCTCAGACTTTGTATACTTTGTAATAATATAGGCATTGTAGGACCTCATCCTCCTAATCAGATGGTTGTTGCCTTTGATCCTGGCATGTATACGTTATAGATAAACTACAGATGTTGAGGGTTACTGGATATACAAGAGGATGTTAGTTGATCTGAGTGTATATCCAGTAACACGAAACGGCTGTAGTTTATCTGCTTTGTACTATAGTATGTGGGTGTATGAAAGGCACTGTCATTTAACTACCAGAATTGGCAGTTAGATGATGGCTTCTAACTACCCCTGCTGTGGTCTCCACTTTATAAACTCATGGCGGTGCCTTTGATACACCCACATACTGTAGTACAAACAATGATATTTTGTATTTCATGTACCTAACAACATGTGTGTATATGTATAGTTATGCCTATATTTATTTTTCTTTTTTGTTAAGTTTATTTAACGTTGTGTTTAGTTTTGAAGTTGATTGAAAGTACCACCGACAATACGTTAGCATCTATTGAACCAAAGCAAGCCTCAGTATTATATTGATGGACTTGATCCTGATTGACAAGTAATAATTTAATAATCTAGTGATTATTTCAATTTATTTGTACTAGCCTCTTTATCCTTTCCTCTCTCCCTCTCCTTTTATACTCTTCACTTATTTTCTATCTTTTTATCTTTTTTGTTTTATTATGCACTGTACATTCCATTGGAAGGGTCCAAGAATTGTACAAGATATACTTGCAATACAAATCAGTAAGCAATGTCTATAAAGTGCTATCTCATTTATTGCTATTATCATTTGTAGTATGTAGAACAAAGGTTTAAGATACTGTATGAGATGGGGCAGTTAGAACAAAAGAGGTAATTGTATTGACTATTGTATTATGAATGAACTACATGTGGTTCCATCATTCCAGTACTAGAATCATAGATATT